CCAAAAGCCCAGGGGAGAGAGAGATATATATATATATATATATATATATATATATATATATATATATATGCATCACCTTCCTGGCTAAATTTCCATTCTAACTAAAAGGGGCAAAGAAGAGTATTCTTGATTTTGTTTTTTTTTTTTTTACCAAGGATCCTCAAACAGGATTCCCAGGGGGTCTGGGCAACCTGTCAGTTTCAGAAAGTAAAGTCTAATGCCAGATTTGAATTAAAAAAAACCTCCCCAGCCTGTGCTATGTTCTAGAATATTCTTGAGGGAGAACTGAGAATTATGGGTGATATTGTACTTGCCAGGACAATTTTTTTGACTGGGTGGAAATCAGATACTGCAGCTCGATTTTGCAAGTCTGCCAAGATAGCTTCTTTTTTGATGAGCTTATAGGACTGTTCATCTGTGATGTCTTCGTCAACTCGGCAGTTAAATATTTCCTGGGTCTTGGTAGTTAATACTAATGGATAAATTTCTGGATGACCTGTGATAAACAAGCGTGATTTAGGCATTAAATACAGACATTAAAATACTAGCGACAGGAAATGTGCAGTTGTTTGCTTTTTAATAATGGTCTTGGTTAAACATTTCAGACCCTTAATTTATCATCCTAATTATATTCATTGTAACGTTTTTTAACCAGGGGCTGTAAAGATGGCTCAATTGGTGAAGGCCTTGTCTGGTACACTTGAGGGTCTGAGTTCCATCCCCAGCACGCTTGTGAAAAGTCAGGCATGGTGGAATGCGCTTGCAATCCCAGCATGGTGAGATGGAGGATGGAGACAGGCATGTCTCTGGAAACTCCGTGGTCAGGTAGGCAGCACTAAAGTTCTAGGCCAATGAGAGGCCCTGGCTTAAACAAAAATGGAGGTGACTGAGGAATGTATGATACCCAAGGGTGTCCTTTCACCACACATGTGAGCACATGTGCACACGTGCACCCACTCACAAACATGTATGTACATATGCATATACATACAAAATCTTAACATAAGAAGAAAATAACCATGGTTTATTAATGCCCTTCAAGAAAAAAATTAGTATTTGCTATATTTGTCCCATCCCATGTAGACTTTTTAAGGAATTCTAAATCCTGCATTAAATACTTATTGTTATATCACAAACGTTTTTGCTATGACATTAAATAAAATTTCTGAAACATCATTTTAAATTAACTTATTTCTATAGCATAATTTTCACCTATCCTTTTATGGCTGAGCATTCTAATTTTTCTTGCCCCTCTCCCCCCAATACTTACAGTCTTACAAATAAATAAAACAACTTATAAATTGTTCTTGTATTTCAAAATATTTTCTTGGGATAGATTTTTAAAATTCCTGGTTTAAAGATAGGATGCTTTTCTTTTAGGTTCTTAACACACCCCCGTCACCTGCTGCCCACTGTATCCCCCTGGCTTTGCACTGCACAGAGGTAACAGTCTGTGTGGCACAGGACAGTGAGGGCTTGCTGACTCACCAACACAGGCACAGCCTCTCCATCCTGCTTTCCCTGCCACCCTCCTCAGCTGCCAGGTGCTGTCAATCATTCCTCTTCCTTCAACTTTCCCCACTTCCACACTTTTCCCTCGGCACCCTGCTGTGCTCAATGGCCTCTCATTTTAAAGGCAATGTCTCTCCACCAGATTCCTGGACTCTACTTTTTAGGCCTTCTCCCTTTCACAGACAAACTTCTTATTATTCAATTGCATCGCTTTTGCAGTGACTGACTTCTCAATTAGGTTATGTTACTTGGATGGAAGAAAGAAGGCAGGTAGGGAGTCCCTTTCCCTCTGGTTCACGGGCTCCAGGATTGTCCTCCATTAAGAAAAGCAGAGGGGGTTCTAGAAGCTTCCAGAAGCTCCCACCCCAGGCCAGTCCCTAGCAGAAACAAGGCAAATCTAAAGCAGCAACAGGGCAAAGGAGCTTTCTCCAGGTTTCTTTGTTTTGTTTTGCTTTTATTTTGTTTGGTTTTGTTTTCTGACACAGGGTCTCCCTGTAGCCAGAGCTGCCCTGGAACTCATACATGTGAACCACCACGTCCAGCTCCTGGTTTCTTACTCTTTTCAGCATCATTAGCGTCTACCAAGCCACTCTAGTCGCTGTCTCCCTCTGGAACATTCTGTGGCATCTCAGCTTTCCTGGGATCGCATTCTCCCCTTCCCCAGCTCTCACATTTTTGCCATCCTTCTCCCAGTTGCTGCACAGAGGGCCCAGCAGGGGCACTGTGCTTGGCCCTGTTCGGAATGTGAGCTCATTTTCCTGTTCCCCAGTGCCTCTATGCCAATAATTTACCTAATTTTGGGGTCCTGATTGTGTACATGACCCTGATTACTATGGGAATGTATTCTAAACTGTAATCACTTGATGCAACTCTCCTTTGGAGCTCAAATTAACCATTGATTCAGGACAAGGCCATTTTTAACACCCTCAGAAGCATAATGTTCAGCTACTGACTTCTCAACCAACATACCCAGTGACTGAAACATGGCGGATGGTAATTTGCACGTGGAGAATGCATAATCAAGGTTCTACGATTTCGCCTTAGGAAGCTGCTAAGTGGAGCTGTGGACCTCCGAGGCACCGAGGTAGCAAAGGACCAGGCACTGTGTTAACTAGGACAAGTGTTCAGAAAGGTGGGGAGCTGGTGCCAGTCAAGAAAGTAGAAAGACAGGGACAAAGGTTATGTTCCCTTTTTAAAATGTAATTTAATGTTGTGGTTTTTTGGGACAGAGTCTGTGATGCCAGCTTCAGTTGTCAGCTGACACAACCTAGATCATCTGGGAAGAGAGTCTCCGTGAGAGATTATCTATAATGGGTTGGCCTGTGGCATGTTTGTGGGAGAGACATATACTGCCTCTGAGCTAGAGTTTGAAACAGACTATTCTGATAAAAGTAATCACTTGTAGAATTCCAACCAAAACAAACAAACAAACAAACAAACAAACAAAAAACGCTCCAACAATCTCATGACAGATTAAAAAAATTTATTGCCTACCCTACAGCACTTCACATGCTGAGTCATCACTGGCCCTTAATAATCTCATAATAGATTTTTTTTTCTTTTTTTGAGACAGGGTCTCCCTGTAGCCCCAGCTGTCCTGGAACTCACTATGTAGACCAGGCTGTCCTGGAACTCACAAAGATCCGCCTGCCTCTGCCTCCCAAGTGCTGGGATTAAAGGTGTGTGCCACCACGCCCTGCCATAATAGATTTTTTTTTTCTGTTTAAAAAGGGACTCCTATGTCTAAATCTGTTTCTCACTTTGAAATTCTGTTTTCATTCTTAGTTGGTATCCTTTATTTTAAAACTTTCAGGTCAGGTGTGATGATGCACACCTGTTATCTGAGCAGTCAGGAGGCTGAGCCAGGCAGATGGCAAGTTTAGGGCCAGTCTGAGTTACACAGCAAGACCCTGACCCAAAATAATTTTAAAAATTTGAATTTTGTATTCTAAGTCATTTGGCCTGATGTTAGAATTTGGCCCTTGCAGAATTCGATCAGTCACTTCAGCTTGCAGTTCTGCTACTTGATGGTTGCAGATTAACCTGTGAGGCAGGAGGCAGGAATCCTAAGTGTCCAGTCCACTCACCCATGCTCCCCATGTTCACTGGCTCCTCTTCTTCAGGAGCTAAAACACAATGAAATATCTAATTTATATATTCGAAGCAAAATGATCTCACTTTATAATAATCTTATCAAATTTCTAAACATAAAATGCAAGCAGAAATACACAACGAAGCATTAAACTATCTTAGGAACAGTTAGAATCTGAATAATTCTTATCCATAGTTATCTTTTAGTCATATATTTGCTGTGACATTTAATTAATATTGAAATGAGACAAATGAGAAATAAAGATAACTTCCAAATATTTAATACTATATATATGATTTTATAACAGCAAAAACGTTTATTTGCTATATAAAGCCATAATCATTTTGACTGCTAACACATGTACTGGAAGTAAACCTGTGAAAATCCCATTAAATGGAAAGCAATCCTACCAGGTGTTGTTTGCTTGGTTTTTTTCTTGCCACGCAGGGACCTTTTTTGTCGTGTTGGAGGTTTTGCCGCCATGATTTTGACGTAGGCTACAGAAGAGATGCCATTGGTCATTTCTGGTTTGCATTTTCAGACATGAAGCATTCTTACTTAGTGAACATAACACATTTTCTGTGTTTGGGCCTGGACCAAATTCAGATGCCTTTTTCAATAGGAATGTGTGTTCTGTGACTAAAGGTTTACTGCAACAATGATGACTGATAAGATCTTGTTCCCATGGTGCTGTTTGGCTGAGGCACAAGATGGTGACCTGCCAGTGCTCCAAGGTCTTTCAGCACAGGCTCTGCCTCGAAAGCATGACAGAGGGCCTACAGAATGCATCCTTGCGGTTCCACTCCCTGAAGTTGCTCTGTGCTACTTTGTGCCTCTCTCTCCTCCCTCATACCTCAGTTGAAAAGATGACCTTAAGGTCCACTGGTGAGTCAAGCTCACAATACACATATCTGTACACAATTTAAAATTTTATGTGTATGAGTGTTTTGCTTGCATGTAGGTAAGTGCACCACATGTGTGCAATGCCTGCAGAGGCCAGAGAGGGCATCAGATTCCCTGGAACTAGAATTATGGATGGTTATTAGACACCATGTGGGTACGGGGAACCAAAACTGGGCTCTCTGCAAGAGCAGCCAGTGCTCTCAACTGCTTAGCTCTCTCTCCAGCCCCTAATGTACATAATTTTGCAAATGAACAGAATTTAAGTCATACTTCTGTCTTAGCATGTGAGCATGTAATTATTAAGGCCTTATTTGTGCCATCCCAAGTTGCTTATGAAAGTTTGCTCCACACCTTTGACAGGATGTGACACTGAGCAAGGTCATCCCCAGGACATCAAGCCCTGTAATTTCCAAGATGTACCTTAGTCCTATCCTATTTAATGGTTAGAAGTGTGATTTCAGATTCAAGTGTGGTGGCTCACACTTAAAATTAGAGGACATGGGAGGGTGAGACAGGAATGGATTGCTATGAGTTTAAGGCCAGGATGGGCTCAGTGTGAGAACTATGATTTCAGAAGTCTATCCAGCAGGGTTTTAAAACAGTCTCTACTTTTAAGCTTAATGGCCCTGGGCAAATTACTGACCTTCTTAGTCTCAGTTTATTCCTCTGTGTAGTGGGGATAACAAAGTCTGCCTCACAGGATGACTGTGAAGTCTCAATAAAAATAAGAAAAAAAATCTCAACATCAAGTCAGAGGGGTTTGCTTCATTTTAACTAATCAACAAAGACTATTTCATAGCTGATGGTTAAAACATCATCAGTTTTATTTTTTATCTACTTCATTACAAAAATTTGACCAAAGCATGGGTATATATGCATTTGCCTGTAAATATCCTCAATTTTTTTCACGTGAATTAAAAAATTACTTAAAATTTTAATGCATTTTTTAATGTGTATGAGTGTTTTGCCTGTATATATGTAAGTATGCCATGTAGGGGCTATGCCCATGGAGGCCAGAGAGGGTGTCAGATCCCTTGAAACTAGAGTTATTGATAGCTGCCTTCTGAGTCCTGGGAACCAAACCTGGGTCCTCTGAAAGTGCAGCCAGTGCTCTTAACCACTGAGCCATCTCTCCAGCTCTACTTAGTTTAATATATTATTATTATTGTGTAAATGTCTCTGTGTGTGTGCCTGTGCACACCCATGATATGAAGGCGGAGCACATGTGCCACCGTGCTTGTGTGGAAATCAGAGGACAAATTTGTGGAGTTGTTCTCCTATCTTTAGATGAGTTCCAGTGGTTGAGCTCAGATTTTCAGACTTGTATAACAAGCACTTTTATACATGGAGTCATCTTGAGAGCCCCACATGTATATTTGTAAATGGTAATAAACATAGATCACACTTGTGTGTGTGCATGTGTGTTCATCTGCTCAAGTGGAGGCCAGAAGTCAATCTCAGTGTCTTCTGATATAATTCTGTACCTTATTTTTAAAAAATATTTTTTTAATTTTGTGTGTATGAATGTATTACCTGCATGTGTATAAGTGCTCACATGTTGTACAATGCCTTCAGAGGTCAGAAGAGGGTGTTGGATTTCCCTGGAATTGGGAATCAAACCTGGGTCTTTTGCAAGAGCAGCTAGTACCCTTAACTTCTGAGCCATCTCTCCAGCCCCCTGTACCTTATTTTTTGACATAAGGCCTCTCCCTTAACTTGGATCTCACCAACTTGGCTGAACCCTCTTGTCCACCCCCCAGCCCCCTTGTCTCATGCCCCTTCCCTTGCTTTGTGCGGTGTCCTCATGCTTTCAGAGCAAGAACTTCACCCACTGAGTCATCTTGTCACCTCTGTATTGGATGGTTTTGAACTAAGCACTTACTGTATATGAGTTTTATTTTAAGGACCAATATGGCTGCCATGCATAGCCAGTTAATACAGCCATCCTACAAAACAGTGTAAACATGCACCCATTTCTTTTCAATTGCTGCCATAATATTAACTAATCTAGGGTAATTCAGTTGAATATCGAATTTTCAAGTCAGAAGCAAAGTTAATTTTCCAGTAGTAAATGAGGGAACAAAAACAGAACATACAAATGCATGCTGTCTTACTCAAGCATCTCATTTACCACTTTCACAAGCATTAATTGACTTCTGAGCATAAATTATTGACTAGTAACCAGGGGCAAAGGAAGACTCTCTTGTACAGGGTTTTGGAAATGGCAAGCCTTCATTTTTTAAATTTTATTTTTATTTTATGTGTATGTATGTTATGTCTGCACATATGCAAGTGCACCTGTGTTGTTGCAGTACCCATGGAGGTGAGAAGAGGGCATCAGATCTCATGGAACTGAGTGCTAGATGGTTGCTAGTTGCCATGTGGGTTCTGGGATTCAAATCCAGGTCTTCTGCAAGAGCAGCCAGTACTCTTAACTGCTGAGCTATCTCTCCAGAACAAGCCTTCTTAATTAAAAAGCATCACATCAAGTTATCAAGTTGTTAGATTTCATACACAGAAAGTTCAATAGCTGTGGTCAGACTGATGAATACAAACTATTCCATTACTTTGAGAATAATAACTTCACATTACAATTGTGTTTCAAGAAAATTTTCACAGCTTGTTTTACGAATGGTAAATAATCAAAACCCTTCCAATATGGCTAGCAAATAATCACTTTTGTTGGTATCTAAATCAAGTGGACAATAAAGTCTACATCATTTCAATAAGCACATTTATTCAAGGTTTATTTAGTATGCATGTTTTCTTTTTAAAAGCAAATCTTATGGCTAGGGAGATGGCTTAGTCAAGTAAAGTACTTGGGGTGCAAACATCAGGACTTGAGTTTGAATTCCCAGCACATAAAGGCTGGGCACTGTAGAAGGCCTCTGTAATCCTGGTGCTGGGAGGGCAGAGACAGGCAGATCCCTGGAGCTTATTGGCTACCCAGTCAACCAATTGGTGAGCTCCAGGTTCAGTGAGAACTCTCTTAAAAAATAAAGTGGAGAGGGATAGAGGAAGACACTGGATGTTGACCTCTGGGCTCCACATGCATATAGATGTGGATGCATGGAAACATATGCACACATCTATATGAACACACACACAGGTACACACACACACATGCACTTCCACTGTGTATCTGGAGAATTTTTTTCCCCTTTATTCCCAGACATTTTTGTATAGCTCTCCTTCCCCCCTCCCTTTTAACTACCCCCTTTTTACATATTTCTCTGTTAGCTCAGTTCCTTATACAAAGCTCTCGTTGTCCATGAAGTGTTCTCTTCCAGTATTGCAGAAATGAAGCTCATTTGAAATGCAAGTTTCCTGAACCCCTTTCTGATCCTGGTTTAGATCTTGCAGTTTTAAAAGCACTGGTGGTCTGTACACCAGCTTTCCAAAGCAGGATAGAGCCTAGCTTTATGCTACTTCATCACAAACACTAGTCTAGTTCTAGTCCAGCCTCATGGGAGTACCCCCTATCCTTTAATATGACCTAGCTGACACCTCCCCCACCTCTCAGCCAGCCTGGATCAGCCTTGTTCTCCAGACATACTACAGTAGCACTGTGAGGTGCTGATTACACCAGACCTCTGCAAACTCAGAGCTGCAGGAGGGATTGCCATGGATTCATATAGCATTTTGCATACAGTATCCACAAGGGGTAGAGAGGGGCGGATGAGCCGCAGTCAGGTCCCAGGTAAACCAATCACTAGAGGAATGAGACAAGATCCCCTCTTTCAAAGATTCACGTTCCCCATTCATTTTCCTGTTAATTTTACAGACCAGGGCTTAGGGATCTAACTACTTTCAGCCACAGTAATCTTCTATTGTGCTGATAAATAACCAGGATCATGCCATTCTCGCATTCATTTATGAATAATTTATTGAGCTCCTGCTGCGTCAGGCAACGGGAGAGCCACAGGTCCGGTAACCTGGGAAGTAGACAGTATCTGCTCTCCACCCCCAAAGTTCTTTGATTGTCGTTAACTATTCTGTTACTGTTTTTGTCTCCCGGGCTTGGGTTGGAAGCTTTTAAAAGCAATGAAAGTCTCCAGTTTTATTTATTTGTACACTTCTCTGCAACTACTACCTCCAGCGAGGTTTCCAAACATCTTTGAAAGAATCAATGCAATATTTAACTTTTCCAGGCCTCATTTCCCGTTCAGAGCTGCCTTTACCTGATACTGGTACACGGAGAGAAGCTCCTTCGAGAGTTGGAGATGGGGGTTTGACTCCTCTCAGAATAAATCTCAAGAGCACCAGCCTTATCTGTCTAGCGGGTGTTGCTAGGACGCAACCGTTGCTAAAAGAGAAAAGGGCACACCTCTGCTGAGATTGACAAAACACTTTCACCAATACAGTATCCGCTCCCTAACAGTCTTTTTTACAACAGGCTTGCGATTGGTTGCCATTGGGGTGACATCACCGAATGTAACCGTGGTGAAATCTGCGGTTTCCCACTAGCAAGACGAGTTAAATTAGCAATTTAGGTCAGCTAATGGCTGTGGTCCATGGCATTGACTCCAGGGTTCATGCCCCGCATCCACTGCAGCCCTGCCTTGTGGGGTGAAGGGTTTGGTCGGAGCGTTCTACAAACCTCTTGGCTTTTCTACTCCCCGGAGATTTGGTTTTCCTCCAGGCTCAGCCCTGAGTTTTCTCCTCTCATGTTTGTGCTCGGCTAACTTTATATTCTTCCCTTTAGCACCAAGCATCCCCTAAACATACGAGTGGCTTTCTGTTTTCGGTCTAAGGCATTTCCTAAATCCCAGGCCTGAATACCCACAAGCTACTGGACATCCCTAACTGCCTGGATAGTTCAGCTCTAGGTGTTGAATAGTAACTAAGTGTTTTAGTTTATTCTTTATTACTGTGATAAAACACATAGATCAGAACCAACTTGTGGAAGAAAAGGGTTTATTTGGCTTAGGCATCCCTGCCACAACTTATCACTGAGGGAAGGAACCTGGAGCACCGAGAACCCTGCTGACTGGCTTGTTTCCTCCTGGCTTGCTCTGCTTGCTTTCCTACACAGCCCAGGTCCACCTACCTAGGAACAGCACCACCCAGCAACAGCACCACCCACAGAGGGCTGGGCCCACCTATATCAATTACCAGTCAAGAAAATGCCTCACAGACAGACCCACAGGCCATTCTGATGGAGGAAATCCCTCAACTGAGGTTCCCTCTTCCCAGGCATCTTATCTAGTTTGTGTCAAATTGACAAAAACTAATCAGAACACGAAGAGAGTAAATGAGGAAATGGGTGAACGAACGAACCACAGATGCCACAACTTAGCATAGCCAAGGTGAATTTACTGTCTTTCAGATGTCTTTTTAAAATCTGTGTGTGATATGTATGTTTGTATGTGAGTGCAGGCACATGCCACCATGCACAAATGGAGGTCAGAGGACACCCCCAGGTGCTGATCCTTACTTTCCACCTTGTTTGTTGTTTTCCCACCGTGCACACCCAGCTAGCTGGCTGGAGAATGTCCTGGGATTCCTCTGCCTCCCTTTCTGATGTCTTTTAGGGACTGTTCAAAGATCTTTTTATTTCCTCCCTTAGGTAACAGCATCACTGTCCTTCAGTTGGCAGAACTAGAAACCTGAGAATCATCTTTGACTCTCGCTCTACCGTACTCACACAATGAATTATTAAGTTCCATAATTTTTCCTTCCAAATATGTCTGGTCATCTCTCTAAGCCACCTCTGCCTCTTCCTTATTTCAGATATACCTTATCTGTGACCTAAACAGTAGCAACAGTGTCTGGACTCGTCCATCTTCTTCCCTGTTTAAATACCACCATGTGGCACATGAACATTTGTACAGAATTCTGAATCTTACATGAAAGACAGCTAGCAGATAATGAGGGAATGAGTACCTCTTTTTTCTTTTTTCTTTTTGGGCTTTGAGACAGGGTCTCCTTGTAGTGCCAGTTGGCCTAAAACTCACTATGTAGACCAGGCCCGCCTTGATCTTAGACGAGATCTGCCTGCCTGCCTCTGCCTCCCAAGTGCTGGAATTAAAGGCCTGTACCACCATGTCTTTTTTTTTCTTTTCTTTTCTTTTTTTCCAAGTACCTTTTCTTACCCCATTTACTGCATCTTCCCAGTGCAACCCAGGTTTAGTTCATTGCTTCTGAACTGTCCGCCACTAGGAACCGGGGCATGAACTTCAGGTATTACAAGTAGGCTGAAGGTATAAACGGGGTTATAGCTGGGAATATTGATTTCTGCAACTGAGATGTATTTACTTAATATAAAGAATGTTGGGGGCTGAGGAGATGGCTCAGTAGGTAAAACGCCACATAAAGCATGAGGACCTGAGTTCAGAACCCCCAGAATCAACCTAAAATCTGGGCGTATCCCAGTGCTCATAGAGGTGAAGGGTAGGGGATCCAAGTGCCCCACCCCCACAAAGATGAAAAAATGATGGTTTGACATTCTGCTCCACAATGTGTTCATGTTTACTTTAATAAAAAGAGCACATAAAGTCACCATTGACTACACTTGAAATAAAATTGAATGAACATGAAGAAACAACAGGAGCTGTGGCATACTTGTCCCTTGGTTTGCCATAGCCCTGACATCCTGCCACACAGTCTCAGGAGATAGTGCGTTCCCAGTTGAGAGAGAGCTCTGGGTACATAGGGCTCCTGGTGGCTCCCCAGTAGGCCTTTCCCTCCTGTTTGTGTTGCCTCTACTCTGTCTCCTCCTCCACCTGTGAATCCTTCATCCATCTTTATTTGTTCATAAACTCTTTTCCCTTTCAAGGCTCAGCTCAGAGGCCACCTTATCTGCAAAACCATGTAAGCCTCAGTAGAATTAGCCACTTCTCCCCCTTTTCCATGACAGTAAGCACTGAATTATGTAGGGATGGCTAGTTTACATGACATCTCCCTTCTTGACTTCAGGGCTTGGGTAGTATTGCATTCCTTTAAATCACTATTGTCTAACACAACTCTGAATGCATTGAAATATATACTTAATTGTTTGATTATTCTGGAAAGCATATGTATGAGAAACCAAAACTTCTTTGCATTCTTTCAAAGAATGTCTTTTCCTTAAAATGTTTTTTTCAGTATCTTTTGCAGTCAGATTTAAGGAAGTAAAGATTGTAACCTTGTGATTTGGATGAGGCACACCCCAAAGAATGAGTTATAACTCACAGTACCAAGAAAGTTAGAAAGTAAAGGGGAAATGTTTAAGAATTCTTCATATTACGAAATTCAGGATTGACTAGCCATCTGTCCTTTCATGGGAGTGGCCATTAGAGAGTGCCAGGATGATCAGCATCTATGTGCTCTCTCTGGGGATATTGGAATAAATTTGTCTAAAACTTGAAGATATTTAAAATTAGTTTTAGTGGCCGGGAGTGGTGGAGCACACCATTTATCCCAGCAGAGGCAGGCAGATCTTTGTGAGTTCAGGCCAACCTGGCCTACATAGTGAGTTCCAGAACAGCTCAAAAAAGACCAAAGGAAAAAAAATTCATTTTAGTGTTGTGAGTCAGAAATTCACAACTGAAACTAATGACATCTAGAGAAATTTTGGATTGGGTTTACAGAAGAAAATCTGACAAATTAATTTGTCAGATTAGAGATAACTTTTGTTTTTTAAAAGTTGACCCAGAATGGAGGACGGTGAATAGAAGTTTTTTTTGTTTATTTGCATCAAGGTGTTTGGAAGAAAGAAAAGGTGGGAAGGGGTAAAGTGTTGCTGTTTAAGTGCTGAACTTCTGAGGTTACCTCCAAGTTCTTGGGGAAACTACCTTAGCCTTCGGGAGAGAAACTGAGGAGCATCCCTGAAGAATTCTCAGCCTCAGAAATGAGAAACTCAGAAAGGCCTGACTTGAGAACAAAGCTTTAGCTATTGGTGGAACAATTGCTAATTCTGGTGTGTGTGTGTGTGTGTGTGTGTGTGTGTGTGTGTGTGTGTGCAGAGGACAACCATGGGTTTGGATTTGGATTTTGCTCTTCAGGAGCCATCTGCTTTTTAAAAAATTACTTATTTTATGTGTATGAGTGATATGCCTGCATGTATGTAAGTGCATCCATATCATGTAGTGCTCTCAGAGGCCAGAAGAAGCCATTGGATCCTCTGGAATTGGAGTTATAGACAGTTGTTAGCTGCCCCGTGGGTGCTAGGATTTGAACCTGGGTCTTCTGTAAGAGCAGTCAGTGTTCTTATCTGCTGAACTGTCTCTCCAGACCCATCCACCTTGTTTTCTGAGACAGGCTCTTTCATTGACCTGGAGCTCACCAAATAGCCTAGGCCAACTGGTCAAAAAATCCCAGAATCCACCTCTCTTTGCCTCCCCAACACCAGGATTGCAAGCACATGCCATCATGCTTGGGTTTTATAAGTGGGTCCTGGGGATCAAACTCAGGTCCTTATGGTAGCTCAGCAAGCCCTTTACCAACTAAGTTATCTCCCCAGCCCCAAATGTGATAATTCTTATAAATAAATAAATGGACCCCAGTGAGAAATTGGAATAGGTGCTACACTAATTGGATCAGAAGGGGAGCATTCTCATTGCTTCTGTAGAGAGAGGCTTGAGTCTAGTGGGGACTTGGAATGACTCAGGCCCTACCTGGCCCAGCACATGATCTGTACTATATAGACAGCAGGTGTCTCCAGAGAGGCCAGTACAGGATCCCAGGGGGAAACAAACAGGGCCACATGGAAGTGGAGTGCACTGGGCCACACGAGCCTCCATACCTTCCAGAAACAGGTGGGGGTGGAGAGCCATTGTCTGCCCCTGGGAGTTCTTTGGTGTCAGCAGGCATGGAGCATCAGTGAACAAACACCAGCTCTCCTGTCTAATGATTTTTCTTTGCTCATTAGAGCACTTTACATATTTAAAAAATCTATAGTAAAGTAAGAAAATTATGTTTAAGCCTGTTTGTCATTGTCTAAGTGGCCTCTGACAACTCCACAAATTTCAGTGTGGAGGTGATAATGCCTGCCTCAGAGTAAGTCAGATAAAGGGTAGGAGCAAGCTCACCACCACAGGGACATCTACCTTGTAGTGACTCTTGGGCAGGCTGTTCAGCTAGTCCTGATTCCCACAAGGAGCTTCCCACAAGGAGAGTGAGAGGGGGAGAGAGAGGGAAGCAATAATGAATTGATTCTTTTCTTAGCTAAGTAGACAGCTTCAGATTTAAAGTAAGATCTGTGTTGGATATTTTTGTCATGTGAAGGGGGTACAAATCATGAGGTTCAACCAAAAGATAAAACTCCTATCCCTGGGGCTGGCCGGCATTCCTCTCCCAACTTGAAACAGTTTAGTACACCACTCCCAAAGTT